GAGGTTTTGGAATGTTTGTTGACTTGACATTGATCCTGAGTTACAGATAGGGCTCAGGGGAAAAAATAAAGCCAAATATCAGTTTTCCAAATGTAGGATGACTTCATGAAATGACCTCATGATCAAAAGAATTCAAATAAGTAGGGCAGCCCTTGTGAGATTTAAGAAAACAAAAAAAATGGCAGACTTACCACCTGAATTATCCGATGGGAAAGTTGGCATATTTAGGAAGAAAACTATATTACTGTGGTGTGAAAGTCCAGGCCAAATGGAGTTAAATGAAAGACAGGATCAGCAGCAGCCTGGATAATTTAGTTAACCAATGATTTTGCAGTGAGGTGATGTCATAGATAAGAATGGGTCTCTCTCAAGATAAGAGATAACATAAGGTAAGAGACATACAGGAGACAATCATATGGGAGGCAACTATTACGTAGTTTTGGATGTTCTGAAAATAGTAAAAAAGCAATGCGATGGGAAGAAAATGATAATCTTAGATCGTGAGATAAACAATATTTCATCTTGCTTATTCATATTTTTTTCATTTTGGAAAACATTGTTTTGGACTGGGGAAGGAGACTGGTTCTTTACAGGTTAGTAATTTGTTTAAAAGGTTGCTTATTTTGCTCCTCCGGTGTTTATCAAATAAATTCTAGTCATACCCACTAATCCAAAATGCTCCATTCCTAGTTCTCAAATAAAAGAAATAATAAAATATGGGCTGGTTCAAGATGAGAATATCACCCCCATCCTTGAAATTCCCTTGTCTGAGTCTCCCAGGGTATTTCCTCTCACTGAAGACTGAGAAGACCCCCCCCCCAAATCACATGACGCCTTTGATCGCTAAGGGCTACTTGCATGTGCTCGGAATCCTCCTTGTGCCTAGTTTATGTCTAACAAGTACTGAATAAATAGTTCATGATTGAATAAATGACCTAAACAGGTAACGAGACCCAAAGTCAGAAAAAGCAGGAAACGAAAGAGAAATCTAGGGTTTCTAGTATCAGTTCTTCTACAAGGTCAATTCTATTTAAAATTCAGCTCCTGGTTAAGCGTCAGGAACATCAAGGTGCCAATGAGGATGCCTGCTCCTGAAGATGGCAGAGCTGGGGCGTAGTGATGTGGGCACATGTACCATGTAACAGCACAGCTACAAACCACAGCTAGAGAAGAGATCTCAGCAAACTATACTCAGCGAAGCTGTAAGTGATCATTTCACATCCACCTTAATTTCTAAAGCTATTTTCCTAAGATTCTGCCTTTGTTATATGCCCTCAGTGACTTTGGATGTCTTCAAGTTTGCCTTGCAGACAGGAAGGCAGGCCTCCCTAAAACTTTCACATGCGAACAGCTGTAATTAAGGTAGAAGGCCTTATTTAAATAGTAATTAGCCTTCAGGACTTGAAGTGTAAACAGGACGCTAATTCATTTAGATAGTTAATTGGTGTTCCCTTTAGAGATCTTAGCACGGCCTTCCTCTTGAGCTATGATGTATTTATGTACCGAGCGCAGACAGTGTATTGACTCATTGGGATAAAGTTCTGCAAACTCTTGCTTGACTCCCAGAGTTTTAGCTTTTAACTCTCCAGTAATGACTAATGCAAATGCACTTGAAAACACTTCGAAAACATCAAGTAAAATTCTGTAGCAAAATCATTAACACTTGACCTCTCTTCATAATTACTGGACCATATGTCCCAATTTAGTCATGTTTTTCCAATGTAAGTATTGATGGATCCCCTTTCACATTCAGGAATATCTTGGTTTGGAGATAAATTATGTGGTCACTAATCATCATAATAAAAAAAGACACAACATCTAGTGATTTCTGTAACTAAAGGCGTGGGTAAGATTTGTTACTTTTTCCATGGGATCCAATGACAAATGTCAAGGTCCTTCTCCCTACTTACTGCCACAAAGATACTTAACAACTGATGTTATTAAGTTTAAAAGTTGTTTTTTTTTTAAAGGACTACTCTACCAGAAATTTTATCATTGCCTTTGTAAAGTTTCCAGATCTGCCAATAACTCTTGCTCAAAAAAATAAAAAAATAAATGATTGTATTCTATAGCTGCATATATATGTGTTGTGGTTCCTTAGCCCTATAGATAAGTTTCATGGAAGGTGGGTCTGGAGATTCCTCATAAAATTAAGAATACAGCTACCATACAACCCAGCAATCCCTCTCCTGGGTATATACCCCCAAAACTCAAAAACATGTATTTGCAAAGATATATGCGCCCCTACGTTCATTACAGCATTATTCATGGTGGCCAAGACATGGAAACAACCAAAGTGTTCTGCAATAGAGGCTGGATAAAGAAGATGTGGGACATGCACACAATGGATACTACTCAGCCATCAGAAAGGGTGAAACACTGCCATTTGGGACAACATGGATGGACCTTGAGAATATTATGCTAAGTGAAATAAGTCAGACGGAAAAAGCTAAGAACCATATGATTATACTCACATGTGGGATATAAAACCAAAACTCCTGGACACAACCAGCAGAGTGGTGAGTGCCAGAGGGAAGGGGCTGGGAGGTGAAGGGGGTCTTAATATATGGTGACAGGAGACGATATGACTTTGGGTGGTGGGCACACAGAGCAATATACAGATCTTGGAACACAGAAACCCATGCCTGAAACCTATGTGTTCATATTAACCATTGTCACCTCAATAAATTTAATAAAAAAAGTTTCTTCTTCCTGTTTATTCTAGCTCATCACACCATACAGCAGATGCTCAGGCCTGCAGCTAGCCATCTTTTCAACATGTGCATCCAAACAGACCTGTATAAACAGTGCACATCACACTAATTCAACAAATATTTAATGAGCGCAGTGGTTGGCACACAGGAAGAATTCACAGATATTTATTGAATGAATAAGTACCCACCACACCTTTGAGTGCCTACTAGGTGCTACCAGCTGGGTGGCAGGAGGTGGGAGAGGAGAGAAAGCTCTGTATCGGGTAGGGTCTGCCCCCAAGGGGCTAACAGCCTCCGAGGGGGGTGAAGTATGTAACCACAGTTGAATGTGAGAATCATTAGTGCCCAAAGAGTCTCTAACTATGAGTGGGAGGTAGTGCTCCCTGGGGTGGTAGAGTCTGGGGGGCGCCTTGAAGGAGCAAAGGTAAATATTCCAATTTTGGATTTTGTCTGGGCTCAGGGGTAGCTCGGGGCCCAGATTGAGACCCGTGAATGTGGAAGGGCCCTCCTCCTGTCAGTCGCTGAGTTGTGCACATGCTATTTTTTTTGAGTGGGGGTTAGTGGCTGACTAATCCAAATGTGCATTAGCTCACCTGGCAAATAATATGACTCTATAGCCAGTAGCATTCAAAGAGAAGCGAGTTTAAGTTGTCACTCTGCCATCCACAATATAAAGTAAAATAATTTTACCATAAGAAATTTGAAACGAGGAAGGCCTCATTGCAGAGCAATAGCGATACAAAGAGTTTAAAACGAACAGGACGTGCAGATCCTTTTTGTTTTCTGCCTTCTGTTTTTTTGCGTATTGCTGCTCACACCGAGACAGGCTGTTTCGCTCCGAGTGGGACGCGGGCCTCGCCCCCGCCGGCGGGCTCCGGGGGAGGCGCGCGGTCTGCAGCC